ATTAGTGGAGAGGCTGACAAAATCCCAATAAAGTCTGGAGTTTAGTTAATAGTAATGTACTGATGTTAATTTTTTAGCTTTGACAAATGTGCTGTGGTTAAATAAGGTAGTAATTAGGGGAAACTGGGTGAAGGGCATACTATCTTTGTAGCTTTTCTCTAAATCTAAAAATTATTCGAAAATTAAAAACTTTAAAAAGAACCTCCTTTATAAATAGTAATGTTATACAAATGTGAGATGGTTTTATTTCAGATATCATTTGCTAGATTATTAGGTTTATTGAACGAGTATTTATTGAGCAAATATCCATTGAATGCCATTTTGATAAGAACTATGGGCAATGTAAAGAAGCAGAAAAGTAGGCGTCTACCTGATAATCTGTTTCAGGACTAGAAGCAGAAAAGACACCATTAGCCACGGGCCAACCAACACAGCAGGCGTCACAGGGGCTATGTGGCTTAGCTGAGACCACAGGTGCAGTGGGTCCTGCAAAGGGGATCAGTTTGGGTTGAAGTGGTGGGGAGGAGAGAGAGAGAGAGAGAGAGAGAGAGAGAGAGAGAGACACACACTAGAGGGAAACAAGCTATTTTGCCTTGGACAACTCATGTAAGCTGTGTGGTTCTTCCTGTTCTCCCTTCCCCACTGGTTGTTGGGAAATCAAATGTAAAAGCATCATGTAGGGTGAAGGACTTTGTACATGTAAGCCAGTCTTAGCTTCCTGACTGACAAAGGGGGTTTCAATATTGCAAAGTGCAACTTATTGAATTGTGGACCATAAGGATGAACTTCCACTGTGAGAGGATGGACGCTGATGCTAAATTGCTTGGAATTTAATCCCAGCAACTTAGTTTACTAACGGTCATTTGACATTGGAAATGTTACTTAAACTCTCTGTGTCATGGATTTTCACCTGTAAAATATGAAAAGAGTATTTCTCAATTGATAACCTAGCTGTGAAATAGCAACAAATTAATACATGAAAAATAGTTTGAAGAGCCTGACCTGTACAAAAAACATAAGCTAACACACATTTTTTTTTGTTTACATTTGGAAGATTGCTGAGAACCTCACGCCATTGGAAGTTCCGTGTGCCTGCTATCTAAAAGGCGCATGTGTAAATCTTTTTGCATTTAGTAGATGCTGTGGGCTTGATTTCTTGTTCCTTTCACCACTGAACATCCTGTGAATGGCAGTGTCTCCCACTCACTTAGCTTATTGTCAAGTCCATCATTCTGACTCTGAATCGTGGGTCCTTGCTGGGCTCTGCTAACAGCTTCCATCAGTTTAATGTCATATAGTTTAGACCAGTGATGGCGAGCCTATGACACGCGTGTCAGAGGTGACACGCGAACTCATTTTTTTGGTTGATTTTTCTTTGTTAAATGGCATTTAAATATATAAAATAAATATCAAAAATATAAGTCTTTGTTTTACTATGGTTGCAAATATCAAAAAATTTCTATATGTGACATGGCACCAGAGTTAAGTTAGGGTTTTTCAAAATGCTGACACGCCGAGCTCAAAAGGTTCGCCATCACTGGGCTAGACAATCATATACTCTACAGAGTGCTCCCCTCAATGTTTCCAGTCAAAATGTCATTGTTCATTTTTGGAGGATGTGAGGAAATCAGTTCATTATTCTGAAAACTGGCTAAATAAAAGGAAAGACTCAAGCATTTTTTTCCTGCCTTTTCTTTACAATCTGAACCTCAAGAAAGCCAAATAGTTGATCAGACAAACTTTCTCTCTATAGGGATGGTAGAATTAGTATATTAGTGTTTTGCAGTCTATATTAATGGAGTTAGGCAATTATCATCAGTGGCTGCTGACATTGCAACAGAGAGACAACCAGACATCATGGGTCTCCTGTACACAAACATTGAACATGCATAGAAGCAAAGAGTGCTCGAATGAACTCATCACCCAGCTTCAGCTATTAATTATTCATGACAATTTTAATTTTATCTGCCACCTCTCTTCATCATACCTACCCTCATTTCCCCCCACCTTTTAATGATTGTATTTACATTTTTTTGTATTGCTCAACTGTGCTCCATAGAGGTTCTAGCAATTTCTACTCCTACCAGCAGTATGTGAAGTGCATTTTTTAAAAATGTATTTTTATTGATTTCAGAGAGGGAGAGAGAGTCATAAACATCAATGATGAGAGAGAATCACTGATCGGTTGCCCCCTGCATGCCCCCTACTGGGAATCGAGCATGCAACCCAGGCATGTGCCCTTGACCAGAATCGAACTTGGGACCCTTCAGTCCGCAGGCCGATGCTCTATCCACTGAGCCAAACTAGCTAGGGCAAAAATGCATTTTTTTTAAATACTCTGATAAGTGTGTGGTTAAATATTTTTACTCTTGTCAATCTGAGGTTAAAAAATGGTATTTCATTATAGTCTTAAATTACATTTCTTGTCTCATAATTGAGATTCAGCATCTTTTCAGATATTTAAGGGTAATTTGTATTTCCTTAACTGTGAAGTGTCTCTGATTTGTAGAGGTTCTTTTCATATCAAAGAAATTAGCCATTGGTGTATAATTTGAATTGATAATATTTCCTAGTTGTTATTTTTCTTTTGCTTTTAATTTTGCTTATGGTGTTTTTTCCCCCCATTTAGATTTTTAAAACATTTTAATCATCAGTCTTTTGTGAATTCTATCTTTTGTGTAATATTTTAAAAATCCTTTTCACTGTGAGATTATAAAAATATTCTCCTCTGTTGTTTTTTTTAGTTCCTCTGTAGTTTCATTTTTTGTGTGTCAAAATCTCTGATCCATCTGGAATTTATTTTGATGTAAGAAGTAGATAGGACTGAAACTTCGTTTTTGTTCAGTATACCCAGTTGTCACAGCACTGTTTATTGAATAGCCTGTCTTTTCTGTAGCAATTTAAAATGCCGTGGTTGACATATACTAAATTCCAATGTGTATTTAATTGTGTCTGAACTCTCTTATTTATTTAATTGACATCTGCCTATTCATATATCAGTGCTACATTGTTTTAAGTGTTGTAGCTTTATAATATGTGTTAATACTTTAGAGAACGACTCCTCACCCCATTACATATACACATAAAACTTAGTCTTTAGAATTTTCATTGATATTCTTCTGTATTTAGTTGTCCTTATAATTTTTAGAACGAATTTATTTAGTTCTTAGAAATATCATGATGGTTTTTTGATTGGAAATGAGTAAAATGTATAGATTTGCATAAAGAGAATTGCCATCTGTTGTGTTTTACTAACTTAGCTGAGATGGAACAGAAACATAAATTCTTGCATTTATGTTGGGGAAACATCAGTTGCACAAGATGTAGTTATTTATTAGACAACTAATTCAGTCTGTGTGCCAGACCATATATCATTTCCTAGGGAGAAAGCAAATAGATTAATCGTAGTTGGTTCCTAGGCTCTTATCCATTTGTCAAGGTCTAGCTTGGCATCACATCATGCGAACAAATTTTTGTTTCCGCTGACCTCCAGTCTCATGTCAGCCAATAGGGTCATGTGGTTGCTTCAGCGTTATTACAACCTTGCGTGGCATTAGAGGATGTCCAGAGAGGGCAAGTGGTGTGTAATGAGTGAGTGGTTCAGCCTCTGGAAGCAGACAGGGGGGGTGCCCTGTGACCTTGGCAGGTTATTTAATCTCTTCGGGCCTCAGTTTCCTCAACTGTAACGTGAGAGGATGTTAATTGTACCCGACTCATGGGATTGTGGGTGAGGCTTAACTGAGAGAATTCAAAATGCTTTTGCACTTTCCCTGTAAATGTTACCTAATATCATTTATATTGGAAATCTGACTCCACTGGTCTGATGGTATCTGATTTATTATGTTCGGTTCCCGACATCATCACTTAGGAGAGGCAGTAGAAAAGGGTCTCCACAAGAGGGAAGCCAGGTGGTAAGAAGAGGGTATACTAGAAACATTAAAGGGATAGTAGCCTTTCTACTGGAAAAGAGAAGGTGATTGAGAAGCAATGTCAGGTACGTATTTCGTGTTGCCTGGGTTTGGGGACTGACACCAGCTAATGAACTTCAGCTTAACTGAGAAAAAACTTTCCGGCAGGGACATGTTCAGCCACAGAAAGACTGCAGTGAGCCGCCTGTCAGGAGAAATGTTTGAGAAGAGGCTGGGTAGCCATTTGTTAAAGAAACTGCAAAAAGAATTTCTGAATTAGGAAAAGGAGGCTAAACAACAAACAACTAAGGCATTTTCCTACAAAATTCTAGTATAAATGCACACAGGTGCAATCTCACATGTAGAAAATTCTCTGCGTATGGCTTACTCATGTTCAAAGAGTTATGATTCTTCAAAACCTTTTTGATCCTGTTTGAGTGAGAGTGCCCTGGGGTCCTGTGAGCATGGGTGACCATCAGAGAAAGGAAGACGTGGAGAAATAAGGAGAAATCAGCAGACTCGGGAGCAGCTTGTGTCACTCTGTCTCCTTGTCTCTCGTTACCTTGGAGACAAGTCCTATATCTTAGGAGCCCCATCCTTTTTATCTAGAATAGTAATCCTTGCTCCCTACTTAGAGTGTGACTCTTTAAAAGAACAAGTACGTTATTATAAGTTTTCCACCTCTTAGTGTGTCTGGAGCTTTTTGAAGGAAGGCAGACAAATGACAAGTTTAAACAAAGGTATATGACCCTATAAACTCGGCCTTACTCCATTTAGCACCAGTACACTTCCCCGTTATCTTTATTTTTCCTGCTATTCTTTTATTTCAGTAAGTGTAACCATGGTATGTTAGAAAATTTTAATAAACTTCTATAACAGGTAGTATTTAATAGCCTATTTATTTCAGACCCATCTCCCACTTTTCTTCTGGCAGGCCATTACTGACTTGCCTTAATTTCCTAAGTTATGATCTGTAAAAATTTTTGATGTCACTGGATACATGCATGGTCACATTGTGTTAATTAAGGGAAAAACCTCATCAATGGGAACATGTCTTAGATGATCTCTAAAATATGATTTCTGTATTTTTAGTGAATGATGAACCTGCTGCAGCCACTGATCCCGAAGAACCTTCTGTTGTTGGTGTGACATCCCCACCTGCAGCGAGTGTTACCCCGAACCCCACTGCAGGGTCTCTCCCTGCTCCAGCCACTGAAGAACCTTCTGTTGTTGGTGTGACATCCCCACCTGCTGCAGCGAGTGTTACCCCAAACCCCACTGCAGGGTCTCTCCCTGCTCCAGCCACGCCAGCTGAAGGAGAGGAGCCCAGCACGTCGGGCACACAGCAGGTCCTCCCGGCTGTCCCGGCCCCCGATGCTCTGCCTGCTGGGTGAGTAGCCTTCTGTCCCACAGCAGCCCTTTCCAACCCTCCAAAGACTGAGGCCCCTTCACCAGGGCAGAAACAACAAGGTTATTTAGTACCTCGTGGCTAGGAGTCTCTGGGAGGCTGCTGTGCTGAGGACCGAGGGAGGTGTGGGAGAAATGCTTATTCTACGTAAATCTTAAAGAGAATCTAAATCAACTGGGGCAGAATCAATGCTACCTTATACTGTGACTGGAAGTGAACAGCTTGATCCCAAGAATGTGGCTTTTATAGAACAAGAAGTTTATTTTGCCTTCCAAAATCACTGAGCGGTGTTCGCCTGCATCCTGCCTAGAAAACAGCGTTCCTCTTAACTTCTATCTTAACGGCCTGTGGAGGACGTTAGGCTCTGAATATTACTGGATGTCATTCCCGTAACTGGTGCCGATAGTAACATGGGCTACTAGTTTCCTTGCTATCCTTTAGTTCAGAATTAAATCTGATGGTAAACACCTTGAATGCTAAGAAGGTGGCCCCAGTAAGCCAAAAGGAAGTTCAAGTTTAGTTACATAGTGAGTGGAGATAAAAGCAGAGACTCAAAATCAAATAGATCTGGGTTTGAATCCCCACTTGACCCTATTTGACCTTGTATGAGTGGCTTACTGTCGTGGTGAGGTGGAGATAATAATCATGCGCATCTCCCTAGGAAGTTAAGAGGCTCAAATAAGATGGCGTAAGGGAAGCACTCACCCACTGGTGGGCATTGCACCTGGTGAATGATATTTTTGAAGTGGTTGCGAAAGAACCATGAATAGTTTTGAACTGGGAAACGAAGCCTTATCTTAGGGCTACCAGTCATAGCAGGGCCAGTCTGTCTGTGGTCCCCCTGTCCATCCTGGTTATCAGTTTGGCTCTGTGGACACCCATGTCCATGTCGCCACAGTCACCGTGGTCTGGCTGCTGCTGCTGCTGCTGCTGCTGCTGCTGGTGGGTCCTCTGAGCCCTGTAACTCACAAGGAAAAGGGAAAGGGAGGGTCCCTTGCTTGGTGCATAATATGGTGTGTTGTTCTTAAGCTACTTTAGAAAACCCAGTTGTTAAAACGACAATCCTAAATCTGCAGCATATGCGATTTTTTACCACGTACATATTGTATCCTTACCATTTGGCGCACTGCCTAACTCATATTTCATCATAAAGTGTGCTGAGCAAATGAAAAGTATTGCAAATAGTTCTTAATACCTCAAGCCTGGAGTGAATTGGGGGTATTGAGAAGTGGCTCTGAAAAGTTTTTTGGTGAAGCTTTTGATTTCATGAAAAGATTAATAACCAATTGCTGTGTCCAATTCCTCCCTACTGAGATTTCTTTTCTCTTTTGTATGTGGTAAGGACTACTCCAAAGACATTCATTTGGTTTATAATTTCAAATCTGTGTATAATTTGGGGGGAACAGAGCAGAATCATTTTGGCAGAAAGGAGAGAAAATGGCGCCGCCTGTGTCCCCTGTGAGCTGTTTGTTTTCTTTCCGCTGAGCAAATGCCTGGAAGGCCGGCTTCACTCCTGTGTCAGTCACAGGCAATTAGGGCTAATGGCTCAACGTGTCTTTATGTAGGGCGTGTGTGAGGGTTACTGTTCTCTGGGATTGGGCTCTTCCTGTTTCCAGGCAGCTGGAAAACTCCAGGCTCTGAAAACGCTCTTTATTCTAAGTTTGGCGGATGGAGTGGCCCAGGGAAGCGATTCTCCTCCCTTACCCTGCCAGAGGCTGCTGCACTTCTCTGAGGTCGACTTTGGACGGCATCTTAGAGTGTTTAGAACATGACGAGGCCTGTGTGTGGGTCTGGGGAGGCTGTTGCCTACTTTAACACGTGTGCCGGTCCACAGAAGGGTGTTGGGACCCAGTTTTCCATCCTAAGGTGCCCATCCCTGAGACATGGGGGAGCCTGGAGCCTGAGCTGCCTCACTGGAGGCTGCCACCAGCGCTGCTGCGTGCTCGGCAGTGAGCATGGCAGGCTTTCTGTTCTCTGCTTCGTACAAGCCAGAGACCCTTGCGATTCGGAGACCTGCCGGCCCCACCTTGGAATATCGCCCTGTTTACAAGTTTAGGAGATCCAGACGAGATGGGCTGTTCCTTTATTCCTGGTATCATGGCTTCAGGAGTCAGAGGACCAGTTTTAACCTTTTTAAATACAACTCTGAGCCTGACGTTTCACCACCTAGAATGCTTCATTGGCTTCTTATTGTCCTAAAGTGGCGATATTCAAAACTATTTTCATAGTTTTATTTTTTAATTAATCTATTAATTTTACTGGTTTTAGAGAGACAGGAAGGGAGAGAGAGAAAAACATCAATTTGCTGTTCTGCTTACTACTATGTATACATTCATTGGTTGATTCTTGCATGTGCCCTGACCAGGGATCTAACTCCCAATGTTGGTGTATCTGAACGACACTCCAACCAACTGAGCTACCTGGCCAGGGAAGAATTTTTAAAACATGCAATACCTGACTATTTAGTCAGGGACACTGACCTCTTTTCTCTTAGATTGTCATTAAAAAATGACAACAGCCAACACAACAATAGCTATCTGGTGTGAATGAATCAAAATTATACTTATTTTCTGTTCTGTCAGATTGGCAAAAATATTTTTTGGGTGTGCCGCAGAATTTTAGTAATTAGTTTATGTGTGCCATGAGATGGAAAGGGTTGAAAATTGCAGTGTTGAGGGATACATTCTCAAATCCTTCATAAGGCCTAAAAAGCCCTGCACGTAGGCCCCCACCCAGCCCTGAAGCCTCCCCTGGAAGACCCTCTGCTTTGCTCTCCAAGCTTCAGCCATAACTTACGTCAGTTTGACAAATGTTCCGCTCTTTCTCTGCATTTGGGACCCTCTGCCATGCTGGTTGCTGTTTCCAAAACCTTCTTCACTACTTTGTCCATTAATTCCTTTCCGTTTTCAGGCCTCAGCACCATCTTCAGAACTAGCCCTTCCTCTGGAAGTTCTCCCTCGACCCCTGCTAGACAAGGTCAAACCGCCCTGAGTACTGTAACTCTGCTCACACGTGTAATTGCTTGTTTCACGTCCCTCTGCCCTGCTGGGCTGTAAACGCCATGATGTCCGGGAGCCTGGCACAAAGTGGGTCCCCAGGACATATTTGTAATGAATAAATTTAAATGTTTTCTGCTTCTTCGATACCTCAAATAAATAGCAACTAGGACAGGAGTATTGCATTTTTTTCCCAAGAACAAGAGCTCAAGGCATCCATCATTCACTGGGTTGACTGGCTTTGGGTTTACCTGTGCGTCTCTCACAGGGTCAGGATGTTCTTCCCTGTCACTAGGGGTCCTTGTACACTGAGAGGTCCTGGGGAGTGTCTCCTCTCTACTAAGGTATTCCTGAGTCACGCTAGAGCGCCTTTTCCAGGTACCCAGACTTTGTCTCGTTCCAACTTTATCTTCTCAACTTCAGTCTCCCTTACTGAGTGATTGAGCAAGAGATCCCTAGGGCTTATTTTACCAATTGCTACATTGCCTTTCTGAAACTTGCAGCAGATAAGACTGATTATAGCCCTAGCTGGTTTGGCTCAGTGTATAGAACATTGGCCTGCGGACTGAAGTGTCCTAGGTTCGATTCTGGTCAAGGCTACATGCCTAGGTTGCGAGCTTGATCCCCAGTGAGGGGCATGCAGGAGGCAGCCAATCATTGATTCTATCTCATCATTGATGTTTCTCTCTTTCCCTCTCCTTCCTCTCTGAAATCAATAATAAAAAAAAAAATCTATCTATCTATCTATCTATCTATCTATCTATCTAAAAGCCTAAGTGACCGTTCGACCGGTCGCTATGACACACACTGACCACCAGGGGGCAGACACTCAATGCAGGAGCTGCCCCCTGGTGGTCAGTGTGCTCCCACAATGGGAGCGCCACTCAGCTGACTGGGCACCCCTGGCTCATGGCTGGCGGGCGCAGCTGCAGCAGCTGGAGCCTCTCCGACGACATTCCCCCTGTGCGCCCCTACCCCATCTGAACCGGGATCGGGACCAGCATCAGGACTGACTGGGCGCCAGCCTGAGGCCGCTTCTTGGTCATGGGTGTGCAGAGACCGCAGCAGAGCAGCAGCGAGCCTACCAGTGGTGGCAGGCGCAGCAGGGCCTGGATGAGTGGGAGTGGTGCAGCGCCCAGCCTGGGCTGGGCTCCTCCCTGGCCACCAGCCACTTCAACTACTGCTACATCCCTGAGGGGATATTGGATGCTGGTTTCGGACCAGCCACTTCAACTACTGCTACATCCCTGAGGGGATGTTGGATGCTGGTTTTGGCCCGATCCCCACAGGCTATGCCGAGGGACCCCACTGGTGCACGAATCCATGCACCTGGCCTCTAGTATATATATAAAAGACTGATTATAAAGAGATAACACATGTCTGTATGTTTTTTTTTTAATTCTCACCCGAGGATATGTTTTTATTGATTTGAGAGAGAGAGAGAGAGAGAGAGAGCATCGATGTGAGAGAGAAATATTGATCAGTTGTGCACCCCAACCAGAGATAGAACCGCAACCTAGCTAGTATGTGCCCTGACTGGGAATGGAACCCAAAACCTTTTGGTGCACGGGATGATGCTCCAACCTACGGAGCCACCTGGCCAGTGCCATGTCTGTGTGTTTTAAGGACTGAAGTCTACTGAAAGCTGGACTGCATAAGTCCAAATAGAACACTGCATTAGCCTTTTCTCCCTGTCTCTAAACACTCCTGCTTTCTGTACTTTTAAATTTAATTAGCATGAGAGAAGCCAACTGGAAGGGTCTCTTCGTTTTCAGCTTGCAAATGTCCACTAATGGAGGGGTGCCAGGAAGGCTCGGGAGACATGGTGAGATAGTGGTCCAGGCAGCGGGCAACGGGGAGTGAGGCCACTTTGATCAGCGGGCCCCGCATCTGGTTTTTATCAGCACTGAGCCCACTTTGGGGACTGAATGCTCATTAACAGACCCTGTGTACATGGCTTAGATAAACTCTAAGTGCGTCCCGGGC